CGTAAGACATATACCAATGCTTGCTTGCTAACGTCATTTAACCAGATCTTTTTGGAAGATCAGTTATTTGTAACTCCAAGGAAACACGCAAATAGTAGCTCGCGAGCGTACGCCCCCCTTCCTTACCAAATTCAAGGCGTGCAATAATGTGTACGTGAGGAAATGCTCACAGCGAAAGATTACAAGTTGACAAGTAAGCACAAGATGGAAGGCATGCCGTGTTAATTCAAGACACACAAGCCAAGACACACAAGACACACAAGCCTCGGGCCTAACGTGCACAAGACCGGTTTTCAGTAAAAATTTTGGATTGTGCCGTTCCCCTGATTGTCAAATCCTGCGTACGCCCCTGTGCAACATCCTTAGCCATGATCTATCGCTTAACAATGCAAACCCAATATCGGCAGTGTTCCTGGACATTGTTTTCGCTATACAGCTTACACTTGTCCGTTTTCATATTGCAATGAATATGACCTAAGTCGCGCGGCACCCGACCGGTCGCTGCAGGGAAGGCCCGAGCCAGGTCACGGACCACATCATTGCGCCCCAGCACATGACCCCGCTGACTGGCGAGCTGTTCAAGCAACGATGAAATGCAACGTGGTGACCAGCTTCGTGTCAATGACCCTTGATGTACAATCGGAAACTGATGTGTGATATCTGCCGTTTGCATTGCACTATTTTCCTTGGTTGCCTTGAAGTTAAAATCTGTTGGTCTGGCGTTTTCTGGAGATGGTATGAAGTGAATTTCTTCCGCAATTGGTTTGCGCTGAGACGAGTCGGCAGTTTCGTCGGGGCGTCTCCAATGGTTAACCAGAAGTACAAAGGCCAAAACCTAAGAAAACTCGTCACGAACCAACACAAATAAGGCCATTCGCGATATAAAACCTCACACAGCCTTCTCAAATCGTTATTCTGTTGTGTAGTATAACTCAATCCATTACGCGGGCTCCGCCGGCTATTTCAGATAATCACTGACTGTCATTTCCTAACATCCGCAATCTGACCCAGTCCTTGGCGGCCAATGCACGTGAAGATACAAGTAGCACTTCAATGAATGCGCTTGTGACATAGTGTACGCGTGTGCGCAAGCTCTTCGAATCGAGTACGCAGAGATGCTTCGTAAGAATTAGCTTTCCATCCCACTTCTTTCCTAACCGGGAGGCCAGCGTCCTTTGCATGCGCTTTTACACGCCCGTATTTTGCGGTGCGAGGATTCTGCCGATGCATGGAGGCTTATGCTCGGCCAATGGGCTGTTAAAGCGACATGTTGATGATAAATACTGTAATTTGCCGCAGACTGCCCGAGCCGCGCTTAACCATCGGTTTTCGTCTACATCTTTATGCCGGTGGAAAAAAACCAGCTGTTAAATATGGTACTTGCTGGTTTGTTTACTTGCTTGTTCATCATGACGAAAATCATATCCAGTATGGGCATAACATCTGTTTTGGGTGTAGTTTTATCAATTTATTTATGGCGTCATTTTCCATATATTTTACATTTCGTCGCATGTTCGGTCGTAATTTATCACTCCTTTTAGCAGTTACAGGTATGTACTAATCATTCTCGCATCAAAGGCAAACGTGGGTTTGGGAAATCAGATGGCCGGTGCCCTGACTACAGCATGAGCCATCGCAGGGCACTAAATAGCAGTTAAACCTCGCAGGCCTTGTCATTATCATCTTTTTCCCAATACTGACCTTTAAAATCCCTAAACCTCACAAAAATTCCTGCAGGCAGCTATTCGTCATCCAGCCAGTGCCGTTCTCGCCAGAAAAAAACGCACGTCAACCGCCGTGTTAAGGATAAATCATGACTTGTTTACCACGCCGTGACCAGACGGTCCGTCATTCAGCGATCAGAAAAACGCATCGCCATTGCCATCGGCGACCGGGCAGGGAGCCGTTAGAAGTTCAGGCAGCCAGGCCGTTGCCGTCGGCTTCCGAGCAGGGAGCCGTTAGCAGCTCAGGCAGCCCAGCCGGCTTCAACATGTTCCGTGTCTTCCTAAAAAACCGCGCGACTGGAGTGTCGGCCCAAGGCGAACGCGCCGCACCGCTGCCGATAAGACCGACACGCTGGTTTTGTCTCGACGAAAACACGACTCGAGACATCACCAACAGCCTATAAAATCGGCCCAAATAATTTATCGGTGCGATAGTGGTCGCACGACGGTCGCGGCAGCCCCTCCCCCCGCGGCTGGCCAGTGACCCCAGTCGATGACCCCCCACCGTGCCGGCGGCAGGCCAGGCCATTTGCCGCCAGGGGGCACCGCTGCCGGCGCCACCCTTGCGGTCGCTGACGCATTTGCGGCCTTCCGAAAACACGATGCAGCTAAATCGGCACGGCTGGTTTGAGGGGTGCCAACGGCATCATATCTCAGAGCAGTTTGTCATGGTTAGGTGCCACGGGCTGATGGCATAGCCTGTACGCTTCACCGCTAAGCAAACGACAGCCACCGAATAGTGCAAACGAGCCAGCCTCGCGGTGATATCCGCCGGAGCGAACTGGAACACGAAAACGGACGCCGAGGCTGGGAAGACGTCACCGTCCTGGGCTGCGTTTGCTGACGTCACCAACTCTGCACGGGCTCCGGCTGTACCAACAGCTCACACATGGCGACACCTCGGGCAGAGTTAAAGGCGATCCCGATCACATGGTGAAGTGACGGTTCAGAAGTAGAGCTTAGCTCACCCTAAGCTTATCTAAGCTGAGCTAAGCTAAGCTTAGCTCACGCTCAGCCAAGCTGTTAGCGGGAGCTCTGATTCTGGAAATTCATCCCATCAGTGTTCAGACTCAGTTTATACAAAAAATTGCAAATGTTTGGCTAGTTGTAACAATTGGCCAAACACATGTAAGCTGGCGTCTATGTGTTGAGTAGCGATTTTGATGTGCTGGCTTGCCCTTTTCTGGCGGTTTTTCTTACTTGTATTAGAGAGATTTAAGAGATAAAAAATATAGCTGCAAAACAGCTCCGCAAAACTGATGCCGAAAGACTTGAGGAGATAGTGAGGGCAAGGCACCTTTGTCGAGACGCCATTTAAAGGTGACCCGAACCAGGTTGAGGTTGAAACAGCTAAAACAAGCGAACGTCCAGCTGACACGAGCGCGTGGTGTGAACCCATCTGGACAACTGCTCATCGCATCCAACCGCGCTCTGTTTGAAGAACTGCCCGCTCGTTAGGCGCTCATGCCGCAGATCGCTGGCTTTTCTTCTCCCCATGCCACTTTCTCGGCTTTTGGGTCGTGACCCGCGTTGTGACATGGTCAACGCACGTTCAATGCTAACGTACACCGGTTTGGGCTTTGCTTATAGGTGTCCGACAGCGTAGGTGTACTTAATTTTAGACGACTGAAAAGGTAATTTGAGGTGCCAGTGGAGTTCAGCTGAGGTGACCGTTTCTGAGAGGGCGCAAAATGGTCACGCAGTCAATGCGCACGAAAGTCTCCTCAACACTAAAAACATGCAGTACCCTTCCACCAACCACTAAATATCATCATCCCCACCAAGCGCGTCACTGCCTCAGAGCTAATGTGTAGGCGGTGACCTCACTAGAGCGGTCGCCATGCGCGTGCAGCAGCGCCTCACCCCCCCCCCCCCCCCCTCCCAGACTCGGGTGGCGCCGTGACCAGGCGCGGCGCTCTGTACCACCGACAGAGACATAAACGACAAAAACGGGCCCAACGGAGACAAACGGCCGGCACTGGGCGCGCAAACGGCGCCGTAACGCCCCCTCGCGCCGCCGACAAGTGGCTATAACGACCGGGCCCCTCTCGTGAACCGATGGGAAGGGGCGCCGCAATCAGAGGGCACGTCGACAGCCACCGATGCCACCGATGTCGCCACTCGCCGCCATCACGATCGCCCGCGGAGCGCGCCGCGGCCGTTTAGCCGCCCCGGCTCTCTAAGCGACGTTAAAGATCACTTACAAAGCCATAACGGTTGGGAGACGGCCGGCGGCCGGACGGCTCGGCCAAACAGGATGGCTATCGGCCCGGCGCGGGACCGTGTTTTTGTTTCTGCGCGCGCCCGCTATCTGATGCGCGCGCATCCTGCGCGCGCAGCCCGATGAAGAATGCCGCGCAGAGGTCGGTTGATGCGATCGCGGCGCGCGGTTGACGCGGATCGGCCGGTCGAAGCGCGGCCGATCCGCGGTCGATAGCAGGTCGAGCAAAAGGTCGGCCGGGTCGGGTGACCATGGCTCGGTGGTGTGACGCGGGTATCAGCACCGCGGGCGTAGCAGGGTGGTGTGACGCGGGTATCAGCACCGGGGCGTAGCAGGGTGGTGGGGCGCGGGTATCAGCACCGCGGGCGTAACAGGGTGGTGTGACGCGGGTATCAGCACCGGGGCGTAGCAGGGTGGTGGGGCGCGGGTATCAGCACCGCGAGCGTAGCACGGTGATGGAGCGCAGGTATCAGCACCGCGAGCGTAGCAGGGTGATGGGGCGCAGGTATCAGCACCGGGGGTGTAGTAGGGTGGATAGGTCACGGGTACCGACACCGGGGGCATAGCAGGGTGGATACAACAGGTTCATTCTTACTCGCGTGGCGCCTATTTGGTCGGCTGTGGGGATGAAAGGCGATCGTCGATGCCTATCTCCCGCTGGGCTGTTTTTCTTTGCCATCCGCCTATGTATTGCTATCCATTTCTCTTGCTATCACGGACGGCCGATAAGGTGTGCGTCCTTGGGTTAGAGTGCTTGCTCTGACGCAGTCCAGCCCCGGTGGGGGGGGGGGAGGGGGAGGCAGAAAGTTTTGCCAGACAGGCTTCCAAAAATTCGCGACTTTTTGGACATCTGCTACAGGCCAAGACAGCAGAAGATATCTGGAAATGAGGTCTTACTATAAGGAGACGTGAAATGAACCCAGGATCACTAAATTTTCTGGACGGGGCACTCAACAGCCAATCACCCGGGTTTCGGGCTGCGAAAAAAATACAAGAGTGTCTGAGGGAGATTGGTTAGCACGCCATGTCGTTAACCAACTTGTCGTCTCTTTCAGGTACTGTGGCTTCGACTTCAACAGCGCCGCTCACCGAAAGAATGCCACGAGAGAGGCCACGAACACCCTGAAGGCATGGCTGAAGGAGCACAAGAAGAACCCGTACCCGACCAAGGGCGAGAAGATCATGCTGGCCATCATCACCAAGATGACGCTGACGCAGGTCTCCACGTGGTTCGCCAACGCCCGACGGCGGTTGAAGAAGGAGAACAAGATGACCTGGGAGCCGCGAAACCGAACCGACGACGACGACGACAATGACGAGAACGGCAACGAGAAGAAAGAAGACTGTGATGAAACCAAAGATGAAGGTATGGTCCTGACTTCGTCTCCCCACATGGCGCATTCGTCATCATCGTGCACTTCTGGCCCATCGTTTTCGCGTCGTGACCCATAGCTTCGCCGTTCATTACCACACTCCCCACCAAACTCCCCACAACTCGCACACTCACCAGAGGCGCTCCAACCCTCGCCACCCACCCCCATTCAATCACCGCGCCTCCGCTCATCGAACTAACGCGCCCCGCTGCGCCGCCGCCGCCGCGCCACGCGCGCGCGCGCCGCATCGCCGCCGCGCGCCATAATTGCCTCTTTCTTTTATCACGCCGATTTCCCAGCAGCCATTATTCACCCATTATCGCCGGCAGTGGCGCGGGCGGAATCAATATGGCGGTGGCACGCTGCCGATGTGCGCTCTGGTCAGCGGTGTTCCAACACGTCGACAGTTATCAAGAGGAATGGCCAGTCGGGCCGGCCGCCGGCCGCCGCCGCCCCCGATATAAATGGTCGCGGCGATCGCGACGGAAGGCGCCGGGATTGGTCTCCGGGCCAGCCGCCCGGCCGGATTAGGTGAATCAGGCGGCTCACCGGGGTCGGTGCGGGCGCGTGGAGGAGGGGGGGGGGGGGGGGACGCGGAAGGGGTGGGAGGAGACTGGCGTCGGCGGCGTTCGGCTGTTGGCGTGCGCTGAAGGCGTGAGCGCGCCACAGAAGTGGCCGGCGTGCTGACTCGGGCGGTGTCGTCCACCATGTGGCGCGTCACCGCTGGGCTGCATCGTGAGCACCGCAGCCGACCACAGCTCCTCGCCAGGGCTTGAAGCTGATCTGCGCCTGCGAACAACCCCGCGTACACGGCGCTGGCTCTGACACCACGTTCCTCGCGCGAATTCATAATAAACTCCTGCATGGCGAGCAGTTTTCGTGCTTCGTTCGATCAGTCCCCGGGAGAAAGGGCTGGGAGAACCACTCGTCTTCCTTTGAACATCATTCAGCCTCGAATGCTGTACTTCATCCTATCAACAGCTTCTGTTCGCTATCATTCATTATTTGGCCACTCAATTATCAGCTCATTATACCTCATGCCCGGTGGTCACTTACCAGCTCCTGTACTTCGCTCTGGGTGACAACCTCTGGCTTCTGTACTTCACTTGGGATAATCATCCACCCTCTCCCGTAGTTCATCCAGGGTAGCCAGCGAAAGGCTGCTGGGCTTCTTCCTGGTCATTCGATCACCAGGCCCTGGGCTCCATCCGGAGTAACCAGAGTAACCAGCCGGCGTGCTTCGCCCACAGTCATCAGCTCACGGTTGCTGTGCTCCATTCTCGTTAATCGGCCGCCAGTTCCCGTTTCTCAGCCCAGATGATCAGTCAGCAGTGCCACACTCCGCCGTACTCCACCCGGCTAATCACCCACCGGTGGCCGCGCTCCATCTCGTCAGCTCCCGTGCCTGATCCGCGGAATGTCGGCAGCTGCGCACCCCGACCCCGGACGCTGCACGGGCGCGGTGCACAAGCGGCCGTGTAAACAATGGCGGCCGGCGCGCTATCGGCCAGCCATCGCCGGCAGCGTCACGTCACCGACGCCAGACACCGCGTGATGAACACAGGCCAGGGCCGCTGCCGCTCGCAATTCGGTAATCGCCTGTGTCGCTCGCCGACCCGTGTCAGCCTGGCGGCTGCGGCGCGCCGGGCGCGGCCGGGCGGTGGCGAGACCGGCGCATTTTCCGGCCAATTACGCCGTGCCCGCCGCGTTCCCCTTTGGGGCTAAACGGTAAACCATGTCGCCGATGCGCGGGCCGGCGGGGCATCGCGCGGAATTGGTGGACGGCGGGCGGCGGGAGTGGACGGGGTTGGCGAGGCTGACCAGATGTGGAAGGGGTTGGCCGACCGTCAGCGGCTTCGGCGGTTTGGCGTGCTTTTTGTGTGCCGGGCCAGTTGATGGGGCTTCTCTTTTGTGTTTGGCAAGTCAGCTGGCAACGTTTCAGGAGAGACACACTTTGCGCCGCGAATGACAACAATGCTGAGGACGAGCATGAGTAAATAACGTTATTGTTCTCCAGACGCCAGCCTTAGGCGAGCTAGGCTGGGGATCAATGTTTAGCCCATCGTGCATTCAGGCTGAAAGTATCGGGGGAATTTCACCTCTTCCATCTCAACACTGAGGTGCTGGTCGCCAAATTTGCGGCATGCGCAGAGTGTAGGGGACGACGGGCCGCAGCTCTTGGGGAAATTTCTCCCCTGCGCAGTACTCAACGAACGCCATGCCTAGCCCGGGCGCCCGCCTACGCGTGTGCACATTTCAGATGCACTCAGGGCGTAAAACATTTCGAGTCGATGTGCTGCAGCTGCACATAAAGTAACGCTCGTTTAAGTCAGGTTAACTAAGCGTTAGTGGATATTTTATGACCCTTTACACACACGGAGCCACCGTAAGCGGGGCTCTAAATTCTTTCATAACGACCCATCGATTCTTTCCACAGTCTCACGAGGTGCTAACGCTCCCGACTCCGCTACCGCCGGCCACGTTAAATGCTGACGGCCCGTGCGAATCCACGTTTGCCGCCATCCATATCTTTGCTTCGACAAGGAGGGGAAGCCGCATCGCCATTGGCCTTCTTTATCCGTCTTTGGAGTGCATTCATTAGGTTTCGGAGACCAACCAAGCCATTTGGTTTGCAGCTGTTGCTCTTATTTTGCGTGATTACCGCATGGTATGATCTCGCGTACAGGGCCAAAGCTAAATGGCTTCCAAGAAATATTTGCAGCCATAAGCAAAAGCTGATATTCCAACTACGCACCTGGCGCTGCTTCAAAAACATGCATTCATGAATTTTCCTGCAACGAATGCAAGTTTGGCACCTCCGCGTTGCCCTGACGTGTCAGCGAGGCGTGATCTGGCGTGCGGTTGGCGGCCTGCTCCGTTGTTACGCCTTGCCCTGTCGTGCAGCCTTAAACTACAGCTGAGAAGTACGGCTTCGCGTAGCCCCAGAATGCTGTGAACGGTCTCGTGAGACATGACCAAGCCGGGTGAAGAACACACAACGCATTAACTACAAGCCGTTGCACGCGAACTAAGTTAATTAGGAGTTTTCCATCGTCGTGCACGGAGGGGTTGGCTTGCCTGGTGACAGGTAGTGATTTTCTCGCAGTGCAAGTAAAGTTTGCGGAGTATGATTAAGCGCGACACCTGAGAGATTTCCCTGGAAGTCCTTTAGAAAGTTACAACTTATTACCGGGTCATTTGTTCACACAATCAATTTCAATGACCGCTGTGAAATGTCTAACAAACAATAAGCCAGCGCTAAAATGCGAGCCTGAGAACCAAGCCCTGCAACTGAACAAGAGCAAAGCTCCGTAAAGTCTCCTGATGTGCTGGCGTATCAAGCAAGCTGCCGCCTAGTTCTGCCACGCTACTCCCAGTTGGGCCGCAGCCCCAACCAGACCGCGGCTGCTCGGATCCTTGATCGCCGCCACAACAGCCGTTCACCATGCAGCATATCAACGCAGTCGCCTCCATCCGCTCCCAGCTGAGCCGGCAGGTTCCGCAGCATCCCCGGCGTCCCGTCCGGTCCCGTCCGGTCCCGTCCTGTCCCACCTCGCCACCCGGTAGCGTCGCAGCGCGTTATGAATATTTGGCCGCGGGGTGCGAGCACGCGTGCCGCGCGCCGGCCTGTCGCTCGCTGTTTGCTCTGCGCGGCGTCGGACGGCGTCGGCGCCGATTGCCGGGGAGGTGCCCCCTGTCGGCAGCACGCGCCCGCCCGCCCACTGATCCGGCGCCGATAGCGCTTATGAAATGGAAACCACATGGGCGGCCGTCCTGGCGCCGGAGATAGCAGCTGGGGGAGTGGGAGAGGGAGATCTGTGGGGGAGGGGGCAGCCGTCGACACGCAGCGGACGAGCGCGAGCCTTTGTCCGCGGCGTCACGTCCACGACGGGCCGTCGCCGTCGGCGCGGTCTCCGCCGGTCAACTCGGCGCGCCGCCGGCGCGGCAGGGGTCACCGACGACCGCGGGCGCCGGACCTCATCTGTCGCGGCGGTGTCGGACACGGCGGCGTTCCCGGAAAGCGGGGCCGGCTATCGAGCGCCCTCGGGCGTCGAGCGGCCGCGGCCGCGCCGCCGGCGACCCGGCTGACCGGCGCTGCGCGCGATAGGCGCCGTGCGGTGATCGATGCGTCGCTGACGGCGGCCGCGGCCGCCCCGTCGCCGCCGTCGATCGACGAAATATGGCCGCCGGCGCGGCGGCGGCGGCTTTGTTTGGGTGGGCGCCTGGGCTCGGCCGGCTCTGTTTGAGAGGTGTGAGTGGTGGCCGCTGCAGGCCGCAGGACGTGCGCCCGCCGCCGGGCGTGGTTGTAGCGGCAGGTCCATGATCTGTGGACGAGATGCTGCTTGTCGGGAGAGGATCTGGAGGTGGTGGTTGGCAGCTGGGAATGATTTGGCCTGGCCTGATTTGTCGTGGTTAGCTCGTATATCAGTCTGTTTGGCGTTATGGATGAAGGTTGACTAGATGGTTGATTAAATGTTATCTGGAATTTGGCCCGCCTACGAATGTCCGAAGGGATTTACTTTCCAGATAAGGCAGCCCTCGCTCTGCCCAACCGCCAGTGATTCGGTTAACACTAGATAGCGTTCACCCGCATCCCAGAGGACATTATTTGGGTCTGAGTGATATGCATGTTCTTAAACGTGTTTTAGATCGGTTATCCTGTTGTCCATACATCACCAGGGGCAAAGATCTATGACTGACCTGGCACCGGTGTGACCTTTAAAAATGGCATTCTGGGACTGAGCACACCAGTGGGTTTATGTTTAATCCATGGATCCGACCAGGCTGAAAAGAGAGAAATATATAATGATTCGGATTAGGATTTAGTTGAATTAAAAATGTTGTCAGCACAAGTGAATCGCGTTGGATTGCAGTGTTCATTGTTAATTCAAAGGGGGGTGAAAGCGCCCATGCATGACATGCACAACAATCCGTACCAAGTCGGACTACAATGTGTTGGGTTTACACATATTTTGCAAGATGACACCGGTGA